TGGGGATCGAACTTGCACTGAAGAGGCTGTGGCCGGCTTGCCGTTCTGAGCCCGCTGAGCCACCAGGGAGGGAGGGCCATATTTGAACACTTTAATGAGACGCACCTCTCAACGCCGTCTGCAGGCTTAGGACAGGCCATGGCTCCTGCCCAGAGTGCGGCGGCGAATCAGGGAGCGGCGCTCAGAGCCCGTGGAGGTGTGCACACGCAGACAGACGCTGCCCAGGGCCACTGTCCTGGGCAGCCGGGGAGGGCCTGTGAGGGAGGCAGGTGCAAGCAGGAGTTTGGAGAAGAAAAGGAGGGAGCAGGCCTCTGGTTACATAGGCCCGAGGCGCACCTGTCTGCTCAGGTGGTGAGGGGGGCTGGGAACAGCAGACCCAGTCCATCATCACATTGTTCTCAGGATTACCAGAAACTCCTTCTTTGCAACTGTTTATATTTAGGATGAAGATGCAACTACCTGGCGCATAAGGCCGGGAGCATTTGCCTCAGAATTTCCTCCAGGGTCTTCTTGAACAAGAAGGCAGGCTTCCTCTAGCTCCAAGGAGGAGCAGCGGCAGCTCGCTGGTCCTGTTCTTGTGTGGCCTGTGAAGGCGACGGGCTCTCCAACCCTGGGCACTTTCTCTTTCACCAGATCTGACCCGACAATCCTTCGTAGAAGTGGCAGAGAAGAATTTCCCCGAATTTTTCAACTTCTTCCGGACCAGCAAGGTGAGCCGCCTCGGTCACTAGCGGGAGAGCCTGACCCTGGCACGAGCTTCCCTCGAGTCAGTGGAACAGCCTCCACGTTCCTGTTCTCCCCGCAGTGAAGCGGCTGTGGGTGATGCCCGGTGTAGAGCTCTCGGCAGGTGCCGGGTTGGGGGGGGCCCGGGGAGAGCCCCGGACCAGCACCCCAAAGGTCTGGGGGCGGGGGAGCCGGCGAGTCCAGGATGGCCCTAGTTCTGGAAGCTGATGAGGACACCACACAGAAGGGGCCTGCTGGGCTTGCAGGCGGAGCTGAGAGGCCGGGAGTCCTCCCCTTCCTCCTGGGGCGCAGGGCCACGCTGGCTCAGAGGCTCTGACCTAGCGCCCCAGAGGGGTCAGAAGAGTCCCCGCTCCTGGCTTGTGGGCTTCTCCCAGACCCCTCAAAAGGGGGATGGGAAGGAGGGTGGGGGAGCGAGTGGGCTCGAGGGAGAGACTGAGCCGGCTCTGGGGTCTCCTGGGAGGAATCCGCCAGTGTCCGCTCGGGCGCTGAGCCTCCCTGGCCTCCCCACTGTCGGAGACTCTTTGTCCCCGATCACGGATTATTGGGGGG